GTGGAATATGCCATCGTCTTCTTGTTGGATCGACCTTCGAATCTTTTCACCAAACCATTTCACTCGAAATGAAAGTGAGCTCAATAATGAGAACATATAGTTTGAGGCATGATCTAATGTAGTGGAGGCTTTGAGCACAAAGACAAAGGTCACATTTGATAACGTAAATATGAAGTTTGTTGGAAAGTTGAAGTCTGATACTGGGGTATTAGTATGGGTTAAATGAATTTTCTTATTAATAAATAGAATAAAACTCGATTAACACTATAAGAGAAGAATGTGTAATACCTACATTTTTCAGGTACTAAAGTAGGGGACCAAGTTTTCGCAAAATATATTCTAAAAAATAGGAAGAATTCAACTTCGTAAAAACAAAGTCTCGTCATCTCTGAATTTGTAAACTACAGGCTAAGCTCTAAATAGTTCTCTCCATTTAAGGAGCATGCATGGAATATTATGCAGAATAGTAAGACCTATTTACCTTCCCTGAAGTTTTTAATGCTAGAATTAGAGTCGATCTGTGATGGCTATGCAAAAAATCAAATAGAATGCTTTAACGAATCTAATGAGTAAAGTGATGGAAATGTGGACCTACATTTACCAGCTCCAGGTTGCTGATTTTCAAGCCTGCTAGAATAAGACTTTGGATTAGGCTGAGTTGACTCGATAGTACAGGAGGCATCACAAATTCCCACTTGCAGAGTGGGCAGTCGAGGATGAATAGATAAGAAGAGAGCAACCTAAATGATGAAGATATAAAAAATAGAAATAAATGAAAGCAATTAATTCAAATCAATAGTAACTTTTTCTAGATCATGAAATGAATATATATATTTTTTTCAATTGAGATACTAAGACTTTAGTTAAACTATCAAGAAGGCATAAAATCATAAACACATACAAACTCGAAGATGCGGCATTCTGGCTACATTTTTTATAAACAATTGTCAAAGTTCACTACGTTAGTTATATTAAGGAATGTGTGACTTGTGCATTGAGAATATGTATATTTGATAAAGAATGTATCAAATAATATAAAGATTAAAATCAAAATGAAATAACCATGGAGCAAATATTTGAACATTTTAGGCAATAAAACAAATCAAGGCAGCGACCAGTTCTGTTACCATGTAGCATACATGAACCAGAACGTTGACCTAGTCAGTGTTTCATCAGCATCCTAGGCAGGATCCCACTGTGTGGGTTTGGGCTTAGAAGGTATAAATCTGCTCCATAATAGAGTATTAGACTCAAAATCCTCGCATGTCATCGATATATCACCGGCAGAAAGCCATACGCCTAATAAATAGCTAATATATTTCGAAAAAGATAGCAGGATATAAGGATATATTAAATTATCATGTTTTCCTAAGCGTATAGAGTATATATAGTGCTTCATATGATAGATGTATGGCATCGAGTCCTGAATGAAAATGAAGCTTACCCTAGGAAGACGATCTGAGTTGAAAAGGCTGACACCAATAGAATTACTGTATTGAGTGTCAGATTCTACTCCAGACGAGGATACTGAAGAAGCTTTGGAAGTAGCAGTAAATGTTTTTTTGCTGTGATTATCTGTGCAATTGAAATTATGTTCTAAATCCGTAACAAGACGCAGACGAAAACTAAAATTGTCCCGACCTGCGGCGAGAAAGTTAGTGATCCGACTGAGACAGCCTGGAACCACCCGCCGCGATGATGCAGAAGTGGAGGGAGAACAGACAGAAAGCTAGAGAGGTTGGAGCAATACAAGGCAAAGTAAAGAAAAAAGAAATGTTGAATGGTAAGAAAATAGATGCACGAGCAAATGATAAATATGGGCATAATTAAACAAGAACTAGAAGTCAAAAAGGGACATTTTAACAATTGGCATAATGGCTTTACTAATACTACTGGTAAAGTCGCATCAAGTCAGAGAACAAATGAAAAATGACGATTCAAGGTAGAATTCGCATTCTCTAAGCAGACATGTTAATGATAAGAAGCCTCTACATGGATGAGTATAATTAGAACCAATAGTCTATAAGGATCTGTAATATAAACATTGGTCCAATCTGAGATTCTCAGTGACGTCTTCCTTCTTTAGTGTGAACAAGCGGCTGGAAGGAATTTGGAGATAGATAAAACCTGAAATCTGAAAAAAAACAGTGTGCGAATAACTATCAATAAGTTGTCTGAAATAGTTTTCGCAACTTGATGTTGTTAGAGACCTAGTTGGACAAACTTTGCCCAAAGTCCTCTGTTTTAGTAGATATAATAATTCCTAGATTTGGACCATGAACTTGGTACATTCCCAGACGTTTCGCCTGAATCTAGTCAATGAGCCTTGGCATTCTTAGCGCCAAGCAACCCATCGCCATAGATGTAAGTGTAGTCCATTATTCTTGTCTCTTTGATGAATTATAGCTTGGTGCTGATAATGGCAACTCATTGACTGTGCCAACTATGATGCCGGAGAAACGTCTTGGAATGTACCGAGTCCACGATCTAACGCCGGGAATTGTCATAACTACTATAGGAAAGGACTTCGGATAAGGTGCGTCTAATTAGATCTCGTTGACATGGCAACCAAGTTGAGAAAATGAGGTCAAACTACTGCCAAAACAGCGAAAGAAGACTGCAACCAGAACAACGGCCACAAAATCTTGGTCATTGTATCTACAATTAAATAGCAATATGTTTTCGATGTAAGCCTAGCAGTTCTGAGCATACTGACTTCGGACAATGACGAAGATATGCTGACCCTATACCTAGAATGTGGCAGAGGAATATAAAAATATTGGAAATGAAATTGAGAAAAATAATTTATCAAAACGATTCGAATGTATATTGTTTTCCACTTTTGCCTGCACCGGAGGATGGATAATGAGTGTTCATAAATAAGTGTACTAAAACTATTTATCATGAGATATAATTGAATCTGCGTAGTTTATGTTTTTGTTAAATGGGCCGTCTTCTTTTGATTAGTAGCCCTATTTCTACATTAGTACCGATTGATTAATCGGAACGCAATCCTTCCATTCAAAGTATTTACGAACTTATAGAATTCTGCTAAATTCTGCATATCGTATGGCCTGAAAAAGCTGGGCTACAGGCTGACTTCTTGGTATCCTTCATCGGCGATGAGGTGGGCTAACTTGAATTATTAAACTCATCAACTTTTGGAATCTACATGATTATCACTTTAGCTTCGAGGTCATAGCGAGAACTCCCTGCACTCTTCCCATTTTCATTTAGTTGCTCATTATGAGATCACAATTTCTGATAAATCAGAGATTGAAAGATTAAAAGTTGGAGTCAATAATAAGGAAGTGATTTTAAAGTCTATAGCTTACGTGTCTACTAAGTGTTTAAGGCCGAAATCGGCTCAACGAAAACAAATTACACGCTGAGCTTTTGTCGTTAAACCAATGCCCCAGTGTCTCCTAATCAAAATACTGACTAAATAACTTCATATAATCATTTTGCACTATTTTCGCTGCCTTAAAATGGCTCTGAAAAAGGTATTCGAGACAAGTGTGTAGTGCAAGGAAGTGTTGTTGAGAGGTGAATCAAAGGAGCGCAGTGGACTGCTTACATGAGGAGGCAGGCGAAAAGCTATGCTGGAACGTTCACGAGTCCGCACTCCAAGAGGATGACAAGAGTGGGTCGCTAAGCCTAGCTCAGAGCATTCCCGACAGGACGACGATGAATTGTGAGGGCCCCGCCAGCGCAGCCCAGAGCTTGAGTTGGCATTGGCTATAGTGCCGGTGGTCGTCGTCACGAGTCGTCCGCAGGACGGGAGAGACCGGCCCTGCCGAATGCCACTCGGTGAGTCGGGCTCGACTGTGCTGCCAGCTGAGGTGGGAGCCATTGAGGAGACGGAGGTAGAGATGGGGGCGGATGATGCCGACAGAGCAGTGGCTGCCGGTGAGGGTGAGACTGAAGCGAATGTGACCGATTGCTCAGCTGTAAGTGGACGGACCATGGTTGGGGGAAGGGATGCCGAACTGTGAAAGAGTCCCGGAAACCAGAGATGACGCTGACAAAGGCGACCCAGCTTGACTATGCGGCGCCAGAAGGATAGCTCGACAGGAGAATTGACAAGCCAAGTCGTTAAGGCCGATAGAAGACACTCGATCTGGCAGTCGGTAGAGTCCAGCTATCGCGGAAGAGATGGAAAGAAAGTGTAGGATGCAAGAATAGGGCTTTAATTAAATAACCATATTTTCACCCGAAACTCAACCAACAGATCTAAGGAAAACTTGACCTCATTTGAAGTTCGAGGCAAAGATGTTTCGACCAGCAAACGCTTATGAAAGACTAAAAACCTATTTTACCTTTGATAGAAAGTTATATGAACAAACACAAGGACTTGCGACGGAATCTCGCCTGGTTACCATCTTGACGTACAATTATGTGGCGAGACTTTAGGAACAATTCCCGGAAGAGCCAATACTATGACTATTTGGTCATCTGGTCTCATGGTAGCCTACGTGAAAGGAAGATTAGATTCACAACTAAAATGGAAGAGAATAAGTTACGAAGAGATTTTGCCGTCATGTCTTATCTCACAAAAGATAGGTAAATTAAAACAGTGTTCAAAGAAGCCCTCATACTTTCTTCTGTTAAACCATCTTTTAAAGATAAATATGACCCATTATCGAGATCCGGCTGCTACAAGATTGTTTGCTCATGTGGTTGATGTTTGTTGGTGAGACTTGTCGACCTATTCGACAAAGATTGAGAGAAAACAAAATACTTGTAAAGGAAGCTGGGTCCAATGGTCAGAAGTGGCCGAAAACGTGGTTGAAACTGGACATGAAATAAAATGGTCTCAAAACTAGTAGGTTTGCTGATTATGGTACATCTGTGGCTAAAAGAAAGATAAGAGAGGCTATTGAAATTATTAGGTTATGAAATACGTTGAAAGTGAGGAACGGTGGTAGGAAGTTGAGTAGGAATTACTTATGCTTGATTGATAGATTGAAAGAAAATCCAC